CCTTACGCAAGATGCCTTGGTGGATGCATGCCAGTGTTTGGTTAGCTCTGCATGCAGCTACGGCATTGCATTGGTGGCTTATGTTCATTTTGTTGTCAGTCATGACACCTAGGTCTCACTCAGTTGTGGTGCTGGCAAGCCTACCACTGCTGAGCCTGTAAGTGTATTGTGGGTTATTTCTGCCTGGGTGGATCACTTTACATTTCTCTGTATTAAACGTTATCAGGTTGAGGTCCGCCCACTTCACAGACCTGTCCAGGTCAGCCTGTATTGCCAGCCTGTCTTTGGGCGTCACCACACTCCCCCATAGTTTGGTGTCAGCAAACTTTGCCAGATTGCTTATAATACATGAATCCAAATCGTTAATGAACATGTTGAAGAGCACTGGTCTGAGTACTGAACCCTGAGAGGCGCCACTGGTCACCATGTGCCTTGATGACTCAGTTCCATCAATCAGTACCCTGTGGGTCCCGCCAGGGAGCCAGTTACCTAGCCACCGGACCATGAAGTAGTGGAGGCCGCAGTTTCCCAATTTGACCATGAGGACATTGTGGGAGCTGATCTCAATAATTTAACCTCAATCATGTAGCATTTGAAAAGAAAACTCAAAATTACCCAGGAGAACTTAAGTTCACCACTCCGCAGTAAATAGATTCATTATAGATTACTAAAAATGAGAGAGGGAAGCAGTCTTACTATAAAATATCCAGTAGGTTACCCCAGATGCAAGTTAACAAGGCATTTATCGTAAAACCAGCCTGAGTGATCACCAGAGTGATTGTTGCTGATTGTACAGTAGGTGGCACTTTTTCTTCTGCAGTAAATACTGCACCAGTGTCCCAGTGTGATCGTAGAAATCACTGCTGTTTTCATAGGTCTGTTTCCTGGATGGGATGTAAAACAGGTGCTGGCTACTGTTACTAAATATGATTTCTACGGTACTTTTTGTAAAGAGTAGTCTGGGCAACACTGGTATGTTACCCAATTCTTTTGGGGGTATTTATATTTTTTATTCCCTAAATTTCCCCTGAATTTGCAGTGGATGATATACTTTCATTTTCTGCCTCGCTGTGTTCTTTTGCTGTGCAGTGTGCAAAAGATGTGCTATCCCAGGGATGACTGAATCCCCTTGGTGGTGAATGTGTCAAGCACACACATGGCACGTGGCCTGGGAATTTGTTTGTTTGTTAGTTTTCCCACAGACTTTGTTCTCAGAGGGATCAAGCTCATCTTTGTAAAGTGCTTTCTGATGTTTCAGGATGGAAGGTGCTGTGGACACAGATTCAGACATGATTACAGTAATAAATTATACTAAGTGGTCGTTTTAGATACTTCAGCCTTAATCTTACTCTGGGGAGTCGGGGCTTGTTAACCTCATAGCTGTTTGCTTAATTTTCTCCTCCCTTCCTCTCTCTCCAGGAGAAGTGGGTTGAAGTTGCATCAATGAAGGTGCCAAGAGCTGGAGTGTGCGTGGTAGCTGTAAACGGACTTCTGTATGCCGTAGGAGGTCGAGCTTCCAGTCACGATTTTGCTGCCCCAGTAACCTCCGACACCGTGGAAGTTTATAATCCTCATCTGGACACTTGGACTGAAATAGCCAACATGATCACCAGCCGCTGCGAAGGAGGCGTGGCAGTGCTCTGAAATTATAGGAGGTTTTTGGGGAACTTGCACAGGAAGGAGGAACACCTGGCTCTTCTGAGACGAAGCTTCATGTTTCTTTGCCCAGGGCCTCGCCCACCACCAAGTGCTTTTGTGGAACAGATGGAAGAGCAAATCTCAAGTGGGTTGTAGGGCTTCTCCTCTGCAAAAAGGGATTAATTTCCCTCAAGATTAAAACCAGTCAGTCCATAGACTGTTTCATGAAATATAATGTAGAGAGAAATGACTACAATAAGCTAGCTGAGCGTGGAATGGCTAGGAGCTGTTTGGCAAAGCAGTCCCACCCCCAAGATGATCTTTCCTCCTGGGATAACACTGGTGGGGTAGTCCAATGCCATGGTGTCTCTGTGATGTGGCAAAGCTAGAACCAGGCATAGCTCTTGAAGCCTAGATGATTCCTGTTTAGCAGCAAGGTTTTACCTGAAGCGAAGAGCAGCTTAGCCATTCCCTTACTACTAAAGCGATGGCAGAGAAAGTACTGGGAAGAGCTAATGGGAAAGATCTTTCACTGCTGAATATGCAAACTAAAAATCAACTGGAGGTGAATTTTACTGTGCTATCCTTTCTGGACAAAGGATGTGGTCGTAGGTGACTGCCAATTCTACTTCTTCTTCATTTGTCCTTCAGTAAAGCCCAACATCCTTTTGTTCCTGCTGTTACAGAGAGGTATCACTGAGGCCATCTTTCCTCTATATTGCATCATGTCCATACCTTTTGCCTTCATTTTCCCCCCCTTGCTTAAAGTATCTACCTACACCCACACATGGTAACACAAATACCCTTCTACAGGCTGCTGTTTTCTTTTCCTGCTTCCAAATGATGCCTCTAATTTTGCACTCATGCCTTTTCCAGGCTGAAGCAGAAAGGGCCCACGTAATAGAAGTTGGCTCTGTTCAATTTTAAAGTAATATTACTGGTCTTTTCATTTCACCATGATCTTGAAGGTCCTATATTTAGCTTGAAAAAAGCTTTTTATTAATAATAATAATACTTATTTTTTAGCAAAGGTAAGTTTGACACCAAATCCAAACTTAAATTTTCCTATTTAATAAACATCCCAGTACTTGAAATGCCTGTTCATGCAGTAGTGTTGTAGTATACATGCATACATTGGATAAGCATCTTGGGACTCAAGCAATGTGTCCCAAAAGAGAGTGTCAGAACTTGCTCTGCACACTGTTCTACATCACAAAACCATCATAAAAAGTATAGCATGACTGGAAGTCAGCATTCTGTAGATGGAGGGACAGTCACTGTCTCTAGCCCATGGACAGCCTGTGCAATATAAGTTCATAACAATAAAGCCTACACTTGACATAGTAAGTACTTAAGAATTCACCCACTTGCACAACATTACAACTAACACCATATGCTGAAGTTTGCTCTATATTGGAGTGTTTGCTTCTCTGATTTTTTTTTTAAATGGTTCTGGATACTTTTACTTCAGAAAGGATTAACGTCAGACATCAGAAATCCTTATTCCGTGTTTCTTTAGTTTAATCCAGGTGAGATGGTTTCTAAACTGCTGTAAATTACTCAGTTAGTTCCATATAATGTTTATGTTCCTCACTCATGATGGAATTGTCTTATATGGAATTGTCTTTGCTTTTGTAATAAATAGCATTGCTGCTGCTATCATCTAAAATAAGAGAGACTTTCTTAAGGAAAACTTTGTTCTAACTTTTGACAAGTCAAGGAGTGACTAGAAAAATGTACGTTTGCTTCTAAAATAAAATAGTTCCCGTTTCCTTCTTGTAGTGAGATCATTGGATGGAAAGTGCTCTAAATGACTGTTGTAGTAATACAGTCTTGGTAGTATGGGAACTGGTGGAGAGTTGCATAGCTACCAGGCCCTGTCGCTCTGTACTGCCCAATTTTTGAAAAGCCAGAAGAGAAAGGGAGAAGGGTTTTGTAATCGGGTAACTTAAAACTCCTGGCCTTTCTGTGTTATGATCCTGTCAGACTTCAGTTGGGTAATGTAGGCTTAATTTATTGGTGTCTCATCCTGTGTGCCTGTTTGCAAATTGCACTTTACTTCCTCCATAACCTGTAAGTTTATCAGGGGTGACCACCAGTATCTGGGGGAACATCTGTTCACCAGAGCGCCCCAAGGGATGACGAGGTCGAACGGTTATAAACTCCTGCAAGACCGTTTCAGGCTGGGTATAAGGAAGAATTTCTTTACTGTCCGAGCCCCCAAGGTCTGGAACAGCCTGCCATCAGCGGTGGTTTAAGCACCTACATTGAACACCTTCAAGAGTAAATTAGATGCTTATCTTGCTGGGATCCTATGACCCCAGCTGACCTGCTGCCCTCCGGGCAGGGGCTGGACTCGATGATCTTCCAAGGTCCCTTCCAGCCCTGATGTCTATGAAATAACGAAAGCTTGAAATGAACTCTGTTCCCAGAGGCAACCCTGTAATTAAAGGTGCAAAAATGTTAACAAAACTTTAAATGAAAATCCTGGAGTCTGAAGTATGCAGCCAGTATTCTGCAGGAATTGGGACTTATGGTTGCTATTTTTAAGAGATACAGGTTTGTCAAGTTATTGTGTTTGTGTCAGAATGAATAAGTCATAAGTCTTTGAAGTCCTTCCGACTGACACCCTAATTTTAACCCGCTTATTTTAAATTTAAGTGAAAGACTCATTGTTCTATTGAAGGAA